GAGTCGACCATGAGGCTATCGAGCTTCTGTCAGATGCTCGACGCATTTGGCGGGGGAGTTGCCATTGGGGCGTTCTCCCGCCGGCACGACGGTCTGACAGGAAACGCGCTGTCCGAACTCTATGCTGTTACGCAATGCTCGTCAGTGCACGGCGGTGGGACCAGAACAGGGGCAGAAACAGGTGCGCACACGCTCGGCGAACTTGGAGCACGGTCCGCAGCAATCACTGACCTGGTCTGTTCACTGGCTCTTTGCAGGCGCAACGGGTGACGTATACCCGTATTTGCGCGACTGCACCCACGCCCGCCCGCCCTACGCTCGCCCATCGCCCGCATCCTGTCATCGCCGACATTCCGCAGGCCTCTCCGTCGCTCAAACCCCAACCAACCACTACCATCCACGCGCCTCAATATACTATCTTCCACACGTTTACCCTGCCCACTCCGCCCACTGGCAGCTCGCCGCGCACTTAGGTCCCTCCTCGCGCTTCCTCCCGAGTGCGATCCCGTCGTGCGCGACGGCTTCGAGGAAGCGGAGGTCGCGCTGCGACGTGATGCGCCGCCCGCGAGAACAACCCGCCCCGTCTTCTCGCTCTTCTCGCCGTTTCCGGACAGCACGAGTCTACTCTGAGCCTCCAGCAGGACGCCATGCCAGCAGACGTCCTCGTATCCCCGGAGCGCCCGCGGACACGCCACCGGCCGCACGAGGGGACCTCCTACGCAGGCCGGCCGGGGTGGCCGGACGCGGAGGGCGTGACACGCCGACGCCAGTGCCTAAATCGAGTCGCGCCCGCCGCTCTTCGCGCCGGCGCACCACTCCGCCACGCATGCGTATATTTCTGTCACATACGCGCGCAGTGCTCGGTCCCGCGGCGACGCTCCCGCGCACCCGCTGCGACAGCGCACTTCACGCTAAGCACCCCTGCTGCCAGCGGCCGCCCCCGTCGTCGTTCCCTCGGACGATCGGGGCGGGCTGGTGACGCGTTGACGTCGGGCACATCTGGGTTGCCGAAGAGTGTGTCGGGATCTTGCGCGAGTGTCCGGGTCGTTAATCGCGTCCTGTGGGCGGAGGGACGCGCTCGACGTTCTGGGCAGGTGGCTTCCGACCTGCGGGAGCTCGCTGGCGACCTTATTCCAGATGCGTCGATGTGAGGAGGGCGGTGACCTATCGAGTCATGAGCTAGCTACCTTTCGGCAAAACCCCTGGTTCGGGACAGTGTTGCCGCTTGGTATGGACAGCCCAAGGCACGATACCCCTTAGCTTTGTAAAATGTGCTCTGTGTCAGCCGGTAAGCCCTCTCGACTGCCTCTTCGAACGCACGGCGGCCGACATGAAATGTTTCATGCTAGCTTCGCAGAATAGCCACTACCACCCGAGGATGTGCGAGGTGCACCACCTACTTACGCGGCTCCTGATGCACCCTGATTCGACTATATGCGTTGTAGGATTTCCAAAGACAATGTGGCCCCGCGCTAGGAAGAAATGCGCATGTCAAATATGCGTCGCAGCTCCAGACGCTCCGAGTGGCTAAGGCGAGCAGCGTCGCAACGTAGTATGTCCTGTACGTTATTCATGTTTGTTACACTGCTCGGGCCTGGGAGCTGACTCTACTTAGCCGGCCGGCCATATCCTCCCTACACCCGCTTATCGCTTTGTTCTTTGCCACGGAGGTTATCATCTGCCGTAGATGCGGCATACATCAAGTCCAGCGACAGCACTCCCGTCCCTACCCAGCCTGAGCCCGACCTAATTCTCGTCGCGATTCATTCCACTTCGCCGCTCCATCTACACCGATGCACATGCTCGCAAGTTCTAGAGCTCCGCACTGAGCCCATGTCAAACCAGTGATGGTGTATACGTATTCCGTGCAGTATCCCGCAAGCAGCGGATCTTCGTCCGAGTAAGTCCGGTGTCGCTTGAATCAGCTCTTTTGTTGATCTAATCACTTGCACAGGGCGCCGAGTGGCTGGGACGAGCAGCACCGCAACATGAACGTATGTCCCGTACGTTGCTTGTGTTTATCACGGTGCTCGGGCTTGGGAGCTGAGTCTGCCCTGACAGTCGGTCAAGTCCTACCTACGCCCGCTTATTGCCCGCCTTGTTCTGCAGTGTAGAGGCAATCGTATTCCGAAGCCTCTCGTGATGATCATGTTCAGCTGAGTCAACTCTTGCTCTACACTCGTCGTACGTCTATCGGTGTACATCACGTCAAGCTGCGACGCTCCCATCCCCACGTAGTCCAGAGCCTTACTCCTCGTCCTCGGAAACCATCCAACTTCGCTCCTCCACCTATGCCAATGCCCACGGACGCACCTTCTCCAGCTCCCCCCGCTGTAGACAGGGGATGGTGCGTGCGGAACCTGTACCATATCCCGCAAGAAACAGAATACCGTCCGAGTAAGTCCCGCGCTCCCTGTTTCAGCTCCTGTTTCGCTCTAACCATCTTTACAAGGCGCCACGAGCACCCATAAGTTTGCATTTCAGCCTAAAAGGTCCGCGTCCAGGCCCCCGGCCTTATCGCCTACTTCGCGCCCCAGCTAGATCGGGAAGGCGGCGCATTGCAAAGGCATGCGCATACATGCTAGTCTTGCCAGTGATCATATCTCACTTTCCAAACTTAGGTAGCGCAAACATCTCCGACATCAACAAGTCTTATGAATGCGCACGTCCAACGCACCAGCAAACCAGTACACGCGGGCGGATCTCCCGACCCATACCCTCGTGGGCGCAGATCCCAGTCCCTGATCCGGACGCCCTCGATGAGCCTGAGCGCCCCCAGCGCGAATCGGCGATGCAAGCCATCGACGGTGCGCACCGCGCATCTCGGCCTGGCGCCGCGTTTACTCGCCGGCGCACGAGCTTCCAGGCCGGCTCGCGAGTGGGAGAAGGTTAAGCTCGTGGACGCGGAGGCGACCATGCCCAGTTAGGCGAGTGCATCGTAAGCTGAGGATGCCCTGGAAGGCTGGGAGGCGCGGTGGGCTCGATCCTGCGCGCGGGCTGGGCAATGGAAGTCTCTCTGGCGCGGCGCGAGAACCCCGTTAAGCCACCCGCGCGTCCCGCCCCGACGCTGCTTGTTCGACAGGAGGGACCAAGAGAACATGCTCCGAATCGACGTCGGCTAACGGTGAGAGCGCAAGGTATGACGACATCTCCTCCCTCGGGTGGACTAGCGTGCTGATGGCGGTGAGTAGCCTCGTGGGGCGGGTCTACTCGAGGGCTACAGCCTACAGCAGTGCGCGCGGCTCGTGCTGCCGTCCCAAGTCACGACCGCGTCTCCGATGTCTGCGTCCTCCACACCGTGACACCGGTCTTCCTTCCTATGGAGCGAGACTCGCGCTCACCAATCAGGGCCCCGGCGGACGCGGTGAGGCAATAATGCTTATGCTCCCGCTCATGCGCATGCTCCAAAGGCGACTGAACAGCCCCGCGGCGGCGCTGCGGAGTAAGACAGTGCGACTCCTCGAAAGGGACCGACGAGAACAGGGCGCGTGATGGAACCCCGCTCGCGGCTGCTGCAGTACTCTGCTGGAGTCATGTTCGCCGAGGACCAGGCGCGATGCGGCGATAACAGCTGTTCAAGTTGTTGCCAAGGTGCGCACCGTCTCTGCTGAATCTGCCTGGGATATAGTGAGTGTGCGATGAATGTCGAACTTCAGAACGTAGATTTGGGTACGTGTAGATGGCGCTCTAGACGAGTGTTCCCGCCTTTAGGGTAAGACGATCAAGCTCGAGCAGTAGTATTGACCACTGCATCCAGCGCCAGGATAACGCAGTACATCTCCACTCTATGCTCGGGCACAGACCCGAGTTTCATCGCGCGCCTCCCGCCGGGCGCCGCCTCCCCATCGAGCAGGATTCCTACCCGGGTCCGCCCTTGTCCCCAATACGCCGTGCCAGCTGCAGCACAGGGCGCACAGCCAAGCGGGGACTGGGAGGGCTTCGTCTCGCGGATGCTCGCCCCCGCCGGCGGATCACAGAATGAACGCTGAAGCTTCGCGTTCCATGAGGCTACCGTACGCCGGTCCCTGGCGCGCGCTCCTGGTCTCTGGCTCTGGGATTGGAAACGGCTGCGCGGGGGTGATAGCAAGAATATCTTTGCTGGTGCGACTGAAGGAAGAGCTGCGCGAGCGAGTTGCGCGACGTGCACTGCGCATCTTTACGCGCTGTCCTGTAGACTACGGTATGTGGCCGCCTTGCATCCGTGTGGGAGTCGGTCGGCTGCCACTCTGGCCTCACTGCTGATAGGGGAAATGAATATGTGAGTACGCGGTGTACTCGTGAGGCTATGACCCGCCGTAGTCTCGGGAGTCGGATATTGACAGGGACGTTGAAGGCGGCCTGAGTGCGGAGAGACTTGGTCTAGACTTCACAATGATAGACATTCCTGTCTACCGGGAGGAAGGACGAGAGCTCCGGATTAAAGCAGCCGGTTGCCAACGTTCATTAGTGCTCAATGGTAATCATTTCGAATTATCCGCAGTGCTGCTCAAGGATGCAATGTGTGTCCGACTTCTTCGGAAGACCTTAAGCTTGTCCTGGTCGCGAATGGGGCATCGGGCGTCGGGAGTCTGCACAGCGTCTGTCGTACATGCTTGGCAACTATATAGGCGTCGAAACTATGCGTACAATGGAGCGCAATGTATTGGCAGTATCGCAAATTCGAGAACAGAAGCAAAGGTATCAAGCAACCGGCGATAGGATAGTACATGGAGAATGAGATACACAGACGGTTCGGTGAAGAAACCGTCGTTGTGAGACACATCCATAAGCAAAATGCTTCGGAGTAGGGCGGTGTTCCGAGTAGAGAGGTAAAGAGAGCAGGCCGAAACATAGGGTATCATCTCGAGTCGGATCTGCGCACTCAACTTGAGCAAAGTGGACGCAGGATTCCGGGTCAGATGTGCGCGTAGAAATCGAGAACAGATGTGCTTGCTTGAGTCGGAGGGGCGTGTGGGCCGTAACGCAGGAAATGCGTGGGTTGATACGATATCGCATGTTCTTCAATCCAGGTAAAGAACTGTGTTGGGTATAAGGGGTGTTCTGTCGTCATCTTCAACCACGGTAAAGGTTGGAGGCCCGGTAACCCAAGGCTCGACTATCTGATTAACGCCCCAAGGGTTCATGTCCTCGGCCTCGCTCCGTCCTGTGAGGAAAACTGTTAGCGAGATGAAAGCGCGCGACAGGCGGGCATCAGACTCACGTTTGCGGTCCGGGAATTGCATCTGCCATAGAAACTCTGTGGCGGTCTCGAAGAACGCAACAGGGTCCTGGGCGGGCGGCAGGTCTTCTCCGTCATCGTTGATCTCGTGCCAGCCGTATCCTATTATCTCGACGATGACCGGGGATAACTTGTGCGCGCAACGTGCAAGGAATTCGGGGTCGCAAAAGTCGGAGTCCAGGACGTGCAAGTGGCGTAGATACGGGGCGGGTTTGAAGTCGGGCTTGCCGGTTACCTCCTCGATGTTATCGCTCGCCATGTCCAGTGCGACGAAGAGGTGCATAATCTGTGGGCAGCGATATACCACGTAGGCGACTCCGGACCAGGTGATTTCAGACGCCGTGTTGAACCCCCAAGACTCCTGGATACGAAGGTCGACGAGAAGAGGCCATGAATCGGCCATAAGCATGAGCTCCTCGTCGTTGATGTGTCCCATTAGAGGAATGTCGATCTTGAAGATGCGCAGACCCGAGAGGTCGAGTATGGGACTGATGATGTCGATGATAAGCGCATCCTCTTCCGAGGTGAGCGACCAGTCCAGTTTTGCGCGCGTCATGATGTTGACGACCTGGAGCGTCGCCTTGTTGCATCGCTCTCGTAGCGCTGTGAAGAGGTCCTCAACCTCATTCGGGTAGGTGCGCACTTCGAAATCCAGAGTGAAAATGCGGAGCCTGCAAGTGGTCATTAACTTGACCAGCTCGGTACCAGTGGGCAGTGCCTTGGTGAGAATGAACACACTCTCGAGTGAGGGGAAGGGATAACGGAGGGCTTCCGACCTTAGCAACTGCAGCTCTGATACGGCTTCCTCGTCAGCGGCTAGGAAAGAGTTGCGGAGAAGGGGCTTCGAGGCGAGGAGCAGGAGGACATCCTTGGACAACGATGGGCTAGCAACGGTGAACCCCTCGAGGCGCGGGCACCCGTAGGCGAACACTAGGCTCAGCTCTGTCACATCGTCCTCTTGTTCGGGCCAGATTTCCAGGTGTTTCAGCGAAGGGCATGCCTCGACTAGCACCTCTAATATAGGTGCTAGTTCCTCGTACATCTCCGGGGTGCAATCATCGCCGCTGCGTCGATTGTCGGGGGGATGGAAAGCGATGGAAAGCATCGTCAGGTTCGGGCCCAGAAACATGGGAATATACGCAATGTAGCGTATATCAAGGTACGTCCAGCGTAGACGCACAAGGTTGGGAAGCAAGAATTGCCTTCGACGATAAAAGGCAAGTTGTGCAAGAACCTCCCGTGAGACGGGACGTTCGCTGTTGTCCTGAAGCTGGGCCTGCTCCCAGGAGTGTTGTTCCTGATCTTCAAATTCTACAAGGTAAAAGCCCAGACTCTTTATTCGTGCCGCGTATGAGTCGAACCTTGCCCAATCTGAGTCCATCAGGGGACGCTTGAGGCTCTGGCAGAGGAGAGTGCATGTTTTAAGCAAGATAAGAAATACGTGCGACCGACAAGAAACATTCTCTACTTACCAGATGATGATATAGATATTCTGGGAGGCCGTTCTCTATTACTTCATTTATGGCGCTTTTTGGAAGGGTTTTTATCAGTGGACCGAGTGTTAGCTGGTTACGCCACAATACGTTCAGCGCCGGGTCCTGGAAGGTGCGGCACGTTCGGGCTAAGGCCGCGAGCGTAGGATTGCCCACCCAGTAGCTGTTGTACCCTTTCCATAGGTCGTCCTCGTCCCAGAGTTCCAGAACGACGAACTCGAGGATGTAGTAGAAGATATCCACAACGCGGAGACAACGATGCATGTTGGCAGGTGGGAGTTGGGGATGAAAAGACAAAAGTAGGCGCCTGTCAACGAAGAGCGCTTGATGGAACCCAGAGCTTCTTGATCCTGCGAAAGACTGAGATAGACAACAACAGTGCAGATATAAACGAGCCGTAATAGCCGAAAGTAACAAACAATAACGCTATATACATGAGAAGTTATACCGGAACTAAAGTAAATGGGAGAACGTCCGAAGCGTTTGACAGTCCTGAATCAGAACAACGAGCACGAGAGATCCGCTGCACCCACCCTCTGCGCTCCACCAGACTTCCACACATCTATAAGCAGGTCCATAGCAACCATCGATTGCAATAGAGCATGCTGAGACGTGAGGCAGCTGGGAGCACGATGTCACCCGTGTCGCACTCGATGCGAACGGAAGTGACATGTTCGCTACCACCGCCGACCCAAATCGCTACTACACGACTTGGGAGAGCCTGAAGGACGAGAGAATGAGTATAGCGAAGTGGATGCGAATCATGAGTGAACGTACGCACTCTGGTAGCTGGCAGGGGAAGCAGTGTCCGCAAACCTGCGAAACAAGGACCGAATCTTCGAGAAGAGTGAATGCTTTCGCTTTCGAGTAGGGCGACGGTCGCTAGCTTCCGCAGGCGCGGGGTACAGACTATGGACAACAAGGATGTGGCGTCAGCATCTTATTGCTTCAATAAGAGCAGATCGCCGACCTTCGATGCGAAGTCTGCCCTCCAGACGTGCCACGACCCGAACGATTGCGCGAGGAACCGATGAGGTGTGAGCGACGTGAGGAGGGCGACATTCGTCAGTGAGTGAGGGAGCATCTGCGCCCCCCTCAAGCCTTAAATCCCCTCCAACATTCGCCTACGCAAGCTGCTGAGCATGCAGAGATGAGATAACGGCGCACAGCAGACACGCTCTCCTTCCACATAGAGGGCAGAAGGCGGCCGCTCATCGTTGGGCGGCGCACACGAGGCGGGCGCGGGCGCGCCCCCCGGTGAGCCGGTGAGCCAGTAACGTTGAGCGGGAGACGTTGGTGGCGTCGAGCGAAGTGTAGGCGTACGGGAAAAAGCGGACGCAGTAGGTGCTTCTGTCTCAGGAAGACGGCGGGAGGCTGAGCAGGGCGTACTGCATGGACCGAAATACAGGCTCGTGGCGGCTTCTTGGGCAGCGGGGACGGTAGGCGAAGGATTATAGAGGCTTGCTTAAATCGTGGGGAGGAAGCGAAGCTAGAGAAACCTTGTCACACAATGCTGATTTACCGTTGTAGGAGGGAATGAGACCATCGGTGAAGTTGTAACCCGAGGATCAACGTGACACAGTGTGTGCTTGTGAACTGTGAAGAATTCCCGTCAGCAACAGACTTTTACACTTTAGCGTTAGCCAGAAATAGCAAACCTCCTATACAAGGTGCTCTTTGTCTTTGCGCATATGTCGACTGTAGAAGCATGGGCGGTGCGTCCTTGCCATTAGAGTCAATGGCGCACCAAACCAGCGGCCCTAAATTCGCCCCGGGTTCTGGAAATCAGAACAGAGAGGCTATGTACACCCCCTTGAAAAATAATTCACAGCTGTAAAATGTCTGGAATATCGTTGAGTTGGTCCTAACGACGGAGACATACACAATAGTTCTGGGCGCTTATCGACCTGGGAAGGGCCGCCATTGCGCGGATGAAGGTGTATGTCGCGTGAAGTGATCCACCTTAGTCCCCCTAGCATGTACGGAGAGTGTGAGGCCTCCATACAGGCTACGGGTACCAACCCTCAACCGGGAATTCCAGGGCGTCGAAGGACATGCAGAGCGTCCCGCGCGCGTACGCAGGATATGCGTTTCTTGAACATCACGCCCTGACAAGAATACCGAAGTGTGCAAGATACCCAGTAAATTCTCTTCGGGAGATATTCGCATGATAACGTGCGACGAACTGGACACTAGTCTCCTGGAAAAGGACTATCCATAAGATCGCCCTTTCGGCGGTCTGATGCACAGAACTCCCACAAGTACAGACTGCCCTAGTTACCCTCACATTACCACAAGAAACCCGAGAATGTACTCACCAAAGAGTATCCCATGCCAGTGCGAGGAGTGCACACGACCTGCCCGCAGGCTCGAGCACAACTAATCGATAGGATGTACGTGAACAAAACTAGGGCGTAAAACATAACTATAACGATACACATGGGCATAATCAATCGCCACTACTGCAGTACTGAGCTCTGGAACACCAGAGCATTCGCCATTCGTACACATAAACTACAACGTATGGGACTGAAGGAAAGTGGATCGTAGCGTCCGCGATACGCGCTGCACATACGGGATAAGAGCGGGAGAGCAATCAAAAAGAGCGCGAAAACAAACAAGACACGACAGGGCAGATCAGATCACGTAGACGTCCTCCTTCTCGATGCTGTACTCCTGCAGCTGCCGGAAGTATTCGAGGCGCTCCTCGCGCTTGCGCGCACGCTCCTGCACAGCACAAAAGACCATCAGCACCCGCACGCAGCACATAAGAGAAATAGCGGTACGCACCTCATCCTCTTCGGGGTCGATCTCCTCTGCACGCTCCTTGCCTTTCCCCTTCGACGTCGACCGCCCGCGCTTGCTCGCTGGGCGACCGCTCGCGCTCACAGGAGCAGCGGAGCGGCCCCTCGTGCTCGCAGGCGCGACGGAACGACCTCTCGTACTCACGGGTGCAGCGGCGCGACCGCGCGGGCGGCCCCTGCTCGTTCCGCGTGCGCGTCCTGTACCACGCGTCGTCTTCGCCTTCTTCGCCTTGGGTGGCGACGTGTCGCTCTCCTCCGCATCGCTCTCTACATCCCCTTCCGACGTACTCTCCACGGGAGCGGCTCGTCCCTTTCCCTTCGCCGCCACGCCGCGACCGCGACCGCGCCCTCTGCTCGGAGCCGCACCACGCGCCGTCACCGCCACACGGGTCTTGGAACGCTTCGGGAGAAGGCTCTCCAGTCGGCGCACGGCCGCGCGTGGGTCTGAGTCGCTCCCGCTCAGCACTGCCGCCTGTGCGCGCGTGCGTTTCTTGCCTGCGACCTTTGGGGGCTCCTCCGAATCTGCCAGGGCGTCATCGACCTCGATCTCGATGGGTGCCAGGGGCTTCCGGACCACAGATGGCCCGGCCCTCGCGACGGAGGGCTTGACAGGTGAGGGCGACGAGTCGCGCCGGTCGGTAGACCTCGCGGTGAGCGGCGTGTCGGAGAAATTAGGGGTCGGGAGAGGGGAGCGCTGGTGGGCGTTGCGATGCTTGTGGGGCGTGCGCAAGGCGTGCGTAGGGCTTGCAGACGATGAGGATGGCTCGAAAAGAGTAGTGAGGCCCTTCTTCGCCGACGCGGCGAGTAGGGGGGCGATGGGAAGGTCGCAGGCCTCCCCGAGCGGCGGTAGCGGACCGTTCTCTGCGTCCGAGTTGCCATCGAGGGAGAGGTCAAGAGAGGGGGGTTCGCTTTCATTATCGTTCTTGCTAAAGAGGCGGGGAGGCTGAAGGTTCTCCTTGTCTTCGTTCAGGTCGTAGTCCGCCGTGGGGATGTTCTCCTTATCCTCATCCTCCTCGTCATCATACTCTTCGTCGAGCACCATGCGTGCAGGCCGAGGGTCGACGTCCAGGTACAGGTCGTCGATGTTGTGATCATCATCAGACGGCAAGGGTGTCGGGAGGTGCTCAGGAATACGGACGTCCGAAGACCGCACCTCGTCTAAAGCCAACGTGCCGAGCGGTGCGCGAACCACGCCAGGTGCTCGCGACAATTCAATCATGGCGGCGCGGCGTGCACGTAGGGCCTTGAGCTTCTTCTCCGCTGCGAGGATACCGAACGGATCGTCGTCGCTCAAACGCTCCTTCCGGACATAAGTCGGCCCGCGAGCGGGTTCATTCTCCATATCATAGTCGTTGTCCTCCTCAGGCTGAGGTTGACTCGGTGGTTGGAGACGAGAGCTTCCTGCAACTGGCTCTTGTGTTGGAGGCGTCGGAGGCGGAGGGGATGAAGGCGGTAGAGGAGAATATGCTCGTGAGACCCCGTGATTCCATCGTCGTATGCTGCTCTGATGGCGCCCACGGACGTTCAGAGGAGGGAGAGGGGAAAACTTCTTCTCCAGACGACCGCCCATGGGTGTGGACTGGGCCGGGATCGGCGCACGGATGATGCGCGCGGGGGAAGGTGTGTCAAATATAGCCTTGATTGCGTCGGACTGGGAGCTATCGTCATCGGCGATCGGGATGGTATCTGGTGTGCTAGCTCGTTGGGGTGAGGGTACGGAGGTTGGCTGGAGAGGCTCTCGTCGGCGAACTGGCAGGACCTTCCGACCTGCGGTAGGAGAGGGGGCTGGCGAAATATGCCGTAGTGGTGCCCTATTACCGCCGCCGTGGTCGAATGCGTGAGTATCCTTTGCAGCGGGGGCCGCCGTTGGGTCGTCATTTGCCCTTGCTTTACCCTTCTGCGAAGGGCCAGTAGGTTCGACGTGACGTCTTGTAGCTGTTGGGCTCTGTATATCCGCTGCTAGGTCCACATCATTAATTCAGAGTACCAATCCTCATGGGTGGAGGGCCTTACGACGAGTAGTCGGCTGGGTGATACCGACATCTTCGTTCTTCCGTCCCCGTGTAAGCTTGGAACGTGTAGCAAGCTTCTGTTGCGGTTCAAGCGCTTCTGCTGTTGCAGCTACAGTCTTGCGAATCTTTGCAGGCTTGGGGACAGCGCCTGGAGGAACAGACGCGGTGTTGTAGGTCGCATGCACGGAATGTTATGCAAAAGACGTACCTGCAGTGGCCCCTGCATTCGTAGCCACGGGTTCCTGAGCGTTCGTCCGTTTACGCTTGCCAGTGTGGTCGCCATCCGCTAGTCTCGCAGCGCCTTCTTTCTGAGAGACCGGCTCTGGGTTATAACAATAAGATCGGGTTGAACTCCATAGCGAACATGGTAGGGGCACTCACGGCGGCCAGCATCATCCCCACGGCGAGCTCCAGCTCCCTTCCCTCTTGCGCCCTTAGCTGTCGCGCTTGGACGCGTGCGTTCTCTTGGTTCCGGCGAACGAGGCTTCGATGCAGCCACAGGAACCTCCTCGGGCTCGGGGGCGTGTTCTAGGCATGTCGCGCGTCGTTGGAGCGGTCCATACGCGTGTTAAATGGTGATAAGCGCACCTCCAATGTCCCCAGCGTCCACAGCTGCTTCATGCTCGTTGTCTGCTTGTTTGACCTTGCCGGTGCGACGCAATCTCGTCTTGATTTCAACAATGGGTACAAGCCGTGGTTTAGCGGGTGCGCGAGGCTTCTGAGGTGTGTTGACCGGGGTCTTGTCCTGTAGCACCGGTCTTCGTCGTGTACGCATCGTTTCGAGAGGTTCGAGAACGTCGGCGGGATGAGATGATGGTGGCTGAAGACAAGTTCAATTGTGCTGCCGGACCGCGACCTACCGCGACTCGCGAGCCAAGTGCCACTGTGACCAACTGTCACACTCCCCTCATTCCAAGGTCGGCCCCCTGCCACCGCCAATCTTGCAGCAGGACTACGCTGCGCCAACTTCAAGTTCGTGTGCCGACCAACAGATATGACCTCTTAAACCCATGCCCGTTGACCACCAAAGCAGGCTTCAATCTCACTATGTAGCACTTGCATCAGATTAGCATCGAAATCCTCCTATGTATATCAATGGGGGATACCGAGATATCACTACGAAAGCTATGAAAGCACATATAGATATGCCACGGCGCTTGACCACCAGACGAAAGTCTACTTAGCACACTTTGCGATGGAGTACATATAAACAATCACATAGACCGATCGTCAGAGATGGCCAGGTGAGAAGGGATGGCAACAGGAGCATACTAAACCGTATTCAAGAAAAAATGCAACATATATGTGCCCAAATGCCAGCATAAATCTACAGGCGACCCATCACCCGAGCGTTGTACACGGTCAGCCATCTTGCTTGAGAATTTTCACCACGGCACTCTCCAGAGATGGAATGTCCTCCCTGAGGCGCTCGGCACACTGGTCCTCGTCGACGTACTTGAGGTAAGACTCTGCAAGTGACAACCACGATCCTCGCCGTTCCGACACTATGCGGCGTGCATATGAAAGGGTGAGTTTGAGCGTGCGCAATTCGGGAAGTCTGGCCGCCGCGAATGCCTCGAAAATATCCTCCTACCCAGGCCGATTTTACGTGAGCAGATTGCAACATATGCTTTGGCTGATGCACTTACCATTTCGTCCCCCAGGTTCACTTCTTCCAAGGGGTTTGCGCTATCGGGCGACTGAGGAACGAAACGTATATTCATTTCTAGTGTCTGCATGCAACGCGCCACCGGCCATCGAAGTACCGACCATATCGGTAAGTTCTTGGTTGCACAGAGATGATAGGCAGTGGCGGTGAATACAAGCTCAGCGGGCTGCACGTCCGCCAGAACCTCCTGCAACAACGGAGCCCGGTCCGGTGTAACGCCCCCCATCACCCGCAGCACACGCACATGGCGCATCAGACCAAGTGCCCACACGTCCTCGATCCCACCTTCGACGACACGCAGCTGCCTCCAGCCGCCGTACTTTGCCTGGTGCCTACGGTTTGCCTGGCGTGTAGCATAGTGTGGGCCGTCGACGAAAGAGGGTGGCTTCCAATGGGCCGTGAGCGCGAGGAATTCGACGTTTGGGAATATGTACGCGTACCCAACGGTCGCCAAGGCCACAACATCTCGCGCGCTGTAACTAGCGCAGAGGCGGCGCACACGTGGGTACACGATAGGATGTTGGCCAACGACTGGCGCCGCATCGAACCAGGAGCCCTCGAGTACCTCCAGAGTTTCCGCAGAGCCAGCCAGATGCACGGCTGGGTTTCGTGCATCTGCTTCTCCAGGAGAAGCCCGCCCCCAGCCAAGAGGCTCAAACGTGAGAGAGGCGGATATGAGTCCAGATGGAAGGAGGCTCAGAAGCTTGCGCCCATTCTGGCCAATGGAGGACATCGTGATGTGCTTGAGCGTGGTGAGAGTAGAGAATGCGCGGAGGAGAGATGGTTTGGGACGCGATGTGTCGTGGTTCAGGTTGTTGTCAATGTTGGCGAGCGTCACGAGGTCGTCGCAGCCAAGGATCTTCTCCGCATCATGGATAATCAGCGTATGAATGTTGAGGGACGCGTGTGTGAGGATCGCGGTCAGCGCACCCACAGCGCCTTCGTGAAAGTCGCCCCCCGCAACGGTGAGTGTACGTAGGAAGTTGAAGCGCGCAGTGGTAGGACCCGCGAACATAAAGGCTGAAAGTGAGAGGATTTCTGTGTCCGTTGCAAGAGTGACGCCGTCGTGTGGTAGCAGCCATGGGCCCTTTGGGTCGTCGTAGAGTGCGCGACAAGTCCGCATCATCGCCGCAACGGTGCGCGGGCATGAGAGGTCCATGACCATCAGAAGCACGTCACAGGATGCGAGTTGTCCGGTCATCTCGTAGTAGTCATAGGTACTCAAGAAGATGGGTTCTACTGAGGGAGATCAGGTCATCAATATAAGTCTGAGATGACAGTCAGAGTTACTCACCGGGTGTTCAGAAAAGTAGCGAGGAGTTAGGACTGCAACCAGGGAGTACGAGGGTGACGAATGATGGCAAGATATGTTCTCTGAAGGTTGTTTAAAAGGGCGATAGTCAGGTACTGCAGCACATTTGTATGCCCCTGCCGCAGCTCGAAGTGGTTTGAGGAGTCTATCAATGGATGCTAGACTCTCACCAGGGCAACTTTGAGTGGAACCTGAAAAGGACATATCCCATGAGCAGCTGACCGCGAGAGGTTCATCGAGTAGAAGCTACCGCAGTAGGGTCGTGGCCCCCAGCGAATGGGCACCGGCGAGCTAGAGTTGGTATAGGTCGAACTGTCCTCCACCATTCAAGATCACCATCGACGTCTGTTGGCAACATGCGAATACCTGTAAGCACCACTGTGTCAGACCAAACCCCATGATTTTTGTCGAGCGTATTGGCGCTAGAAAAGAGTGGATCCCAACTTCTCTATACTAGTACTAGAGGGTGTGGAAGGAAGTGAGTGAAGCTTCGAAGTCAGTCTTTCCGGATCCTGCGAAGCTGGTCATAACTCTTGAGTCGCCGGTCGGCGCGCAAAGACAGCTCGAAGCAGCAAAACGTTGCCCTCAGGCTGGATTGAACAACCGACCTCACCATTACGAGTGGCGCGCTCTACCACTGAGCTATAAGGGCGCAAGGTGAAAAGGTGTGTGATTTATATCATGTTTGCACCTGCGGCTCGAGCCTTTACGAATTCGGAACACCCGCGACTGCTCCCACTGTCCTTGCTCTGGACTGTCATCTCGTACGATGCTGCTGCGCGTGGACGCCCTATGCACCTGCAGATCGTCGCATCATCCTCGACCACGCGACAGCGTCCATTCTAACATGAATATCACCCAAGCCGGCACCCGGGAGCACACATAAGCGGCGAAACTGAGGTCCGTCCGCGATGGACTCGGACTCGGAGAAATTGACTCACAGCGAATATTGTGGCCCATCGGACCATGGGCAACACCATCGGCGCCCCAGGATGCCCCAAGGGGCTCGGAGTTGCACGATCTACCGCTGAGGATGACAGAACTCACGACTCACTGGATGGTACCCCTTAGTCCGCCTGGATTTCGCCCGGAAACCCAGTTTTCCCGCCCGTAATGTAAAATCGACACAGCCTGATCGCGGTTCTCCATATACAACCCATCTGCACCATCGCCTCTTCATCCACCACCACAACATACATCTGACGACGATGCTGAGATCGGCTAAGCGGATACAGCGTCCGGCGGCGCTTGTCGACTTCGCGGCATACGCCTACCCCTATCGCGGGTGCTCTCGAAGATGGATGAGCGACCGCCCTGAAGAACGTGCGATATACGGCTCAGGTGAGTAACCGTTCTGCCTTCCTTCGTTATCTGCACAGGCCAACCTAGAAGGCTTCATGGCTCACCACGCCCTGTCGTGTGCCGTCGCGAGACGGGCATCGTTCCGGCACATCTTCGTGGTGCTTCCCTATGCGCAAACAAATGCACAGCTTTTCATTTCTAAAGCGCCATAACACCGGTACAACGTTCATTAGAGCGTTCCGGCGTCATGCGTGCGCGTCTGGCGCGTAGTTTGTGACCGACGCCTTAGTGCTACGACACGCTTCGAACGCAGTCTGTCGATCTGGCGGTTTGGGCACACACTTAGGCTGCTCTCATCCGACATCAGGAGGACTAGGACAAGAGAAAGATGTGCTTACTTACTCCACTTCTTCAGCTCCTCCGCGCAAGAAAGTAACGCTCCAACACCTGCACGCATTGCGCTCTGCGCGCACCCCGATCACTGTCCTCACCGCCTACGACTTCCCCACCGGGCGCGTTTGCGAAACGCAAGGCGTCGACGTCACTCTTGTCGGCGACTCGCTTGCGCAGGTCTGTCTCGGCTACGATGACACCACGCGCCTCACCCTCGACGAAATGCTGCACCACGTGCGCGCGGTCGCGCGTGCCTCGCACACCCCGCTACTGGTCGCCGACATGCCCTTCGGGACATATCTCGCGAGCTCTGAGGAGGCT